GCAGCATGGTGGAACGAGAGCGAGCATCTGAAGGTGCAATCATTATTTTGTCCACTGCAGAGGTGCAAGGATTTCATTCTCATTCCTTGCCTTTCTGTCACTTCATTTTGTGCATCTGTGTTGTATATGGATGTCGTTGCACTGGATCTCATTGCAACTTATCCTAAGGTGACCATATGTCCTCTTTTTCCCCACATGTCCTCTTTTTTGGGACCTAAAAATACAGGAAATGTTGATTTTCATTTTGACATCTGCTTTCTACAGTCAGATATTTTCCGTGTGCATATATGTGTAGCTTTGATGGGCAGTGGTGGCTTGAAGGTTAGGGTAGCGCACTTGTAATTGAAAGATTGCAGGTTCGAATCCCCCACCAGCAAGTCACCACTGAGGTACCCTGAGCAAGGTACCGTCCCCAAGCACTGCTCCCCGGGCGCTGAATTAGCTGCCCCCTGCTATGTCACGAAAGTCACATATGGGTCAAATGCAGAGGACACATTTCGTTGTTGCGCACTGTGTGCTGTGGTGTGTTGACAATGACCACTGATCACTTAATTCTAATTCTTTCTTTGGCCCCGTTGCAAAGTAAAATACAGTCGCCCTACCTAATCCAAACGTCTTGTTTTGCCTCCTTGTGCATACTCTGTGTTGTTGGTTGGTTATTGGTCCACGTTACTACTCTCTGTTATATTAGAGGTACATTTCGTTTACTTAATTTTACTTCAATGTGTATACCAAAACAAATTCCCGGGCTGTACATGGCGAATAAAGTTGATTGTAGCTCTTTGGATATCCTGATGCTAATGCAGACAGGCCTGCAGGGGAATAGATCTTGCCGTTGTGTACGACAGGCTGCACTCATTCCATCATTGGAGACAGGCTGTTGTTAGAAGGCTTGCAGGGGAGAGCGTAAGGTCCTGCATGCAAATGGAGAATGGAAGTGTGGATCAGTCACTCAATGGGGCAGAATAGCATAGTATATGTAGCTTTTTAACTTTTGAAGATTACCAGCGCCAATGCTGCAACCCAGATAGAATTTGAATTACTGGTATTGCAGCCAGCTACCAATTTAGTCATTAAGGCTGTATTACCCTAACAATGGGGTAAAATTGGGCATTATTATTGGACTTAACATGTGTTGCATAGAAATAAGTCCCACCAAATCAGGTCAGTTAAGGGGAGTTTAGTTCCGAGGGGGGTGTTCTCAGTGATTTGACCTCACATGCACTTATACACAGACTTCCATGCTGTCATTCAGGAAGGAACATGTTGGAGGAAAACAGCTCTCCAACCAATCATCTGTCAATGAGTCGTTTTTAAATACATGTACGCCGGCTCTGTGATAAAAAGGCATGCCTTCCATTACCTGGATCAACATTTCTTTTACCAGGCAAAACTTTTTTTTTTCTTCCTTCCTGACAACAACAATTATTTTTTGACAGGTCTCTCAGAAGCATATTGACTACCGCAGCGGCTCTGCTGTGCGGTGTAGACAATGAATTCTAGTGCTGGCTGTCAGGCCGCTGTCGCGGATGGAGATGTGATGAGAATTTAACAGGGAAGGCTGAAGGCTGAAATTCGGGGGCGTCCGGAGGGGTGAGAGTTAAACCGGCTGACAGCTTAAAAAAAAAAAACTTATTAACAGTGCAAAAAAATGGAAAATAGGACATCTTCAAAAGGACCTGGTCACGTGGATTAGAAGTGCGTAACTGTGCAAACAAACCAGAAAACCTATTTTCTGCTAATATTACAGTCATTCCACTTTGAATTTTATTAGGCCAGTTTGTGCCACCCAGGGACCGTTGGGCATGTGGAGTGGAAGTTAAGGTTGAACTTGAAATAGTCGCTGAGTTAAAAGGACACCAAGCAGATGCAGACTAAGCTCTGCTTCTAAGTGGGGAGAAACTTTTTTGCTACACGTACAAGTGCTTTGCACAGCATCTATTTTGAGGAGAAGGTCCGCAAAGAATTAAAGTTTATTTTACTTGGTGGAGGGTTTTAAACTGTGGGGACACGACCTGCTAACTTCTTTCAGAACTACGGTGCCGCGCTGATTTCCAGGAAGCTCAGCCAAATCAATTAATAACACGACTATCAAAGACATTTGTCTGGAGCGGAAATGCAAGAGCTAATCAGTCCCTCCCAGCATACTCACCCCTGCAAGGTGACATGCTTCTGGTCCAACATCTCCAAACCCCGGGACCTTCCTGTCAGGCTCGCGGGTTGACTGATCCACCACCTGTCACTGCAGCAGGATGCAACGTGTCTTTGCGGGCTGCCCGAGAACCGGCTCAGTACGTGCAATCTGGTGCCAATCCAGACAGGGGTAGGGGGTGGGAGGCTCTGCCCTTTGCCCCTCGCATGACAGGTCTTCAGGAAACCCCACGGCATCTAATCAGCTGCTTCACAAGCTCCGTTAATGAACAGCAATTAATGGACTGTTCACTACAATTCAAGCTAAATAGTTTACCTTCACTCTAGCAGATCCTTTCGTGTCATAATTAAATTACACCTCCAGCTGGAGAATGAAGGTTTTCGACTTTTTCTTCAACATTGCCCATTAATTATACTCTGCGCATCATTGCTGTCCCATAATTCTCTTTTCCACCCCCAAAGCAACCGTTCACAGTGAATACCTAATTGGCTGGTAGAAACTCGCATGGACCAATCAATGAGGTCCTGTCAGAAAACGCTGCAATAGGAGCCTCGTTTCCGCCCACTCCTGCTCAGCCTCGGCGTTATGTAAATAGCATGTCGTCTTTTCTTAGCAGCTCAGGGAAGATAACCACGAAGAAACACCACAAACATTTCTTCATTACTTTCATACTCGAGCTTGAAGTAGAAACTTTGAACAAATGTCAGTGTATTTCTCTTAATACTTCATATTTGGAGTACTTAATGGAGTACCTAATGTACTGGTGTACCTGAGGATTACTCAAGCATCGTCACATTTATTAAATGTTACCCTAATTGTTCAAAAGAAGACATATTTGTGCACAGAAAATATTTTCACAGTTTGATGTGTAATTACAGTACAACCTAAAAATATTTCAACTACTTCATTGCTTGGAACATTTACATAACCAGAAGTTGATAAAATATTTAATGGGCAACATTATTATTAATTTATAACGGATACATACAAGTTTTAAATGTGTATGTGATCTTTTTAATAGTTCAAATGCACATGTAAAAAAATCTCAACTAGAAAGATGTGGAATGAATTCAAATCCATAGTTGATGGCTTGTCCATCAGGCTGATGCACAAACTAAATTAAGTAGCTCTCAGGCCTGTTCTTTGGAGCAGGAGCGGCATTCTGGGTAGCAGCCCTTGTCCAATTATCACGGTCTTGTGTTAATGAAAGTGTGCTATTGGTTATAGTAATACGCAGCCAGTAACAGCTGATTGACAAAACCAATTCATTTCCCACTGCCCGCTCGTCTCCCTTGGAGACAGCTTGCCATGGAATTCAGGCCCGATCAATCGCTTGAGGATACACAGGATACCATCAGACGGTCTGTGATCAATCATGGGACACAGGTGATCGTCGATGATCTATGAAGTCGATGATCTTCGTGTTACACCTGGATCAACAAAAATACAGGACATGTCCGCAGAACCATTTTATTTGATTTCTTAAATTAGAAAGGGACATAACAACAGCACTGGATAGAACTGAGGAGACTTCAGTAGCCACAGCCTCCTTTAAAAAAAAAAACTAATCTGGTGTTTTTTTTCCATTATTTACACAGTGTAATTGAGAAGCAATAACTGCAGGCATTTCATTTCCAGTATGCCTGCGCTTAAGTAAAGGTCTGCAGCCCTGTATTGTAAAAAGATCACATTCCTTCTGCAGGCAGTCAAACTTCCTCTTTTGCTGTCGTTCAGGTGTTAAGGGATATGCAATACCTGAAGACTTCACCTGCTGTCATGAACCATTGCTTCTAACTGAACTTGTCACCCGTTTTGCTCCTCCCAGTTGAGGGGGAATGGGGTGGGGGGTGGGGGGTTGGGGGGGGGGCATGCAGGTTGCTGAAGTAGTCCACTTCCTTCGGGTGATTAAAACAGCCAGGTTACTCTCCTAGTCACCTGAGGCAAACTACAGATTCTTACACTGGCTGGTTTGACTGGGAAACATGTCAGAAGGAGTTAGTCTCCCCAGTCATTGTGAACTGACACCAGTCACAAATTTTTATATCATGTGGCAAAATGCATATTTTCTTCAAAAATGTAGGTCGTTGGGCCTGACAAGTATATACCATGATGCATTTCAAATGAATTTAAACCAAACTACTGGCTACTACTTACAGCATGTAAATAATCTGAAAATACATCCATCCATCTTATAAAAGCTTATCCAGTACTGGGGAGGGGGATCAGAGTCTGTCCCAGGCAGCACAGGGCATGAGGCTGGGGTACACCCTGGATGGGATGCCAGTCCATCACAGGGCATGAGGCTGGGGTACACCCTGGATGGGATGCCAGTCCATCACAGGGCACGAGGCTGGGGTACACCCTGGATGGGATGCCAGTCCATCACAGGGCACACACGCGATGTGAGCAATAGAGATACAGATTCAGCTAACAGCATGTCTTTGGATTGTGGGAAGAGACCCACACAACACGGGGGAGAAGGTGCGAACTCCACACACACAGAGTGGAGATGGGTTTCGAACCATGTTCCCAGAGGTCCAACCGCGCCACCTGCTGGTCACTGTGCTGCCCCATTGGAATTAAAAATAATAATAATGTTGGCCAATTATTCTACGAAAGCTTATTTGTAGCATCAAGCTACAAAGTCAATAATCATAGCATTATACATTTTAACACTGTCTCGTGGTTTGGGATAGTAAATAGAGAGAAAATACAAATCTAAGATGGCTATGATACATAGTAGTGAGTAAAATTAAAAAACAACAAAAAAATACAACCTTCCTATTCTTTCCATAACATTGTCCGTATCACATTTTATATTAAATAAGGCACACATTTACACATACAATTAAATTTTGGCTAGTTATTATTCCACAGTATCATTTATTTACACAAATATACACAAAGTTAATAATAATCGTGGTAATTATAATAACAGCTGTTTTTACAATGTTAAACTCCATTAGTCGGCAAGTTCTGCAGTTTGACCTGATGCTCTTGCCAGGGATAAACCGTATTGTTTGAAACCGCTTAGTGCAAGTCCTGCTTCAGTCTTTTTTGTGGGAGAAGGGAACAGCCTCAAAGTGTTCAGTAAATATTAGCACCAGCCTCCCAAACATTTCTCCTGGAGACCCAGTACAAGTCGACGCCTTGTTTGCTTCAAGCAGAGCCGGCTATGGCGAGGTCAGCGAACTCCCTCCGTCTTACTGGGGCAGTTGCCACACCGGTGTTCCTTTTAAATGAACTTTCCACCTCCGTGTTGCATTCCTCTATTGACCTCTCTGGAGAGGAGTCTGTTTGTATGCTACGCTCTCTGTGCATGGCCGCCCAGCACATCCCCACGGTGCACCGCGGCCCAGAGTCACGCCTAGTCTGCTGTACCACCGCCGTCTGATTGCTCGGTTCCGTTCGAGCGAAGACAGACAAGGAGGACCTTTAGGGACAGCGCCCTCTGCAGACAGGGCTCCTACAATGCAGCCCGGGGATAAGCTAGGACACAGTTGCCTCCAGAGAGCCTGCCACGCTACACCAAGGAGTGCACACTATATGCCGTGTTAGCGTGTATACATATACCGTGTATGAAAACACTCACACGTACGTATACACACATGCATATATACACGTCTAAGGTAGGATTGAGCGGCATCCCTCAGCTTGACTATGTGGACACAATGCTCAAGAGCCGGACTGATTCAGAAGTGGTCACCATCCAGACCCGAAGGAATCTTGGACTTTGAAGTCTTGACCCCTCTAATCTTGGTTGGATTTAGGGGTGCAAGCAAACACTGGGGCAGCTGATTGAAGGTGTCCCGAAGAAGATTGAGTCAAGGATTTTGGGAACGACTATTTAAGTAATACCAATATGGTACAAAGAGGTTTGTTTGGGGCTTGAGGAATACGCATGGGGTGTGGCCAGGTCTGTGGCTTCATCCACATGGGAACTGATCCCCAGAGTTCCCTACACACCCTCACTGACATCCTGTCCTTTCTCGTCCTTTAAGGCTGGGTGGCCGGTCTTGCTTAGTGCGCCATTGCAGCCTCAGTAGTTGAACTTATCCCGTGGGTTGACAGGGGAGGTGGCAGGGAGGAAGTGGGGCTTGGGTGGCAGGTCGGGTTTGAGGGAGGAGCTCCGGCGAATCAGGGCCCCCCGAGAACCCTGGGGCCCTTCGCTGTAGTTGTGCTGGCGAGCCAGGTGGCTGCTGCCAGTGCCCATAAGAGGATGGTGCACTTCACTGGCACTGCCCACGGAGTTCATCCGTGCCAACAAGGGAGGTGGCTGGTGCCCACTGCGATGGTTGAAGCTATGCTGGCGGGATACGATGCTGCCGTTGGTGGCCATCTTCGAGGGCGCTAACAGGCCGTGTCGTTGTGTTGGATGGCGCGAGGTCCTCTCCAGGGTAGACTGAGAGGGCGGCATGTCGGGCGGGACATCCAGGCGGCGTGTCAGGCTGTCCCGAGGCAGCGTGGAGGAGCTGTAGTACGAGGACGACTCCGTGTCGGGAATCTGTGCCTGGGCCCGACCACTGTAGGCCATGGGTCCACCGCTGGGGAGCAAGGCCGAAGTCAAGAGGGCCAGGTTCTTACCACCGGCCGCGCTGGACTCATGGATGTGCCTGAGAAGCTCGTCCAGAGTGGTGACGTCCACCACCGTCTGGGGATAGCAGGGATAAGGCTGGGGCATCAGCCGCTCAGCGTTGGGGATCTTCCGGTCCTCCAGGTGAAGGGCGCCGCCAAGGGCCTGCCCTTCCGCCAGACCATGAGAGAAGGGAAACGCCTGCTGGGCGATGCTTGAGCTGGACCGGGAACAGCCCAAACTTGGTGGCCTTGAGTCTTTGGCATTGTTGCAGTTTTGGTTCTTCTCCCATTGATTCCTGAAGGCCTTCATACTTTTGATGGGCAGCTCCGGGGTTGAGTCTGGCGTAGGCAGGCCTGAGAGCTCCTCAGAGTGGTGATGTGGGGTGAGGTCCATCCCCACACCAGACCGGCAGTTCCCGCTTGAATGGTGCTCCTTCCCGTTGGGCAGGAAGGAATTATATAGCTTGGGTGAGGGAACGTCCAACTTTTCATCCTTACCCTGGCTATCCAACAAGCCATTGAGTTTGGCCAGACTTCGCAGGGACAGAGCATGGGAAATGGATGCCTCAGGGTCCTTGCCGAGCCTCTTAGTCTTATGGACATTGTAGCTGCAGTAGCAGGACACCAGGAACCCTGAGAGGATGGCACCCAGGATGAAGGCCACCAAGACACAGGCGATCAGGAGGGTGTAGTGGACACTGTTGCTGGATTTGTCTGCCTCGGGAAAACGTCGGACACCTACAGTGACAACGGGGAAAAAAAAGGCGATCAGGATTTCAAATATGGTATGAATCACTTTAACAGGAAGTAATGATGTAATGAAAAAGCGAGGACTGCAGGATGTTGGTGCTTAAGAAAACTGCCATTTGAACCCCACTCATGTGGTCTCCTCCATCTGCTGATTAAAAAAAAACATTATCACTGAACCAAGAGCTTGGCCTGCATCTCAGGAGCCAGGACCAAGTCCTCCCAGGTAATGATTAAACTTCTGAGTTCATTCAGGCTTCAAATACCAAGGAAGGAGCCAGCGAGAATGGAATCGTGCATATTAAAAAGCACGGTTCGATGAAAGTGCACCTGGCACCTTCAACGTGCCAAAATCAACACTTAGGCCCACCTGCTTATCAGAAAATTACACTGCCCCACAAAAGCATAGGCTTCGACCTCGTTTACGAAGCCGATAGCGAAATTCCTGTGTGCTGGTCGGCCTTCGTTTATGAATCGGGGTTCACTGTTCCACCAAACGACTTTGTAGCCTCATCCTAGGGGCTGTTATGCTCCCCATTTTAATGTAACTGTGTGGTTGGGGGAGGGGGGGCGCTGATGGCTTTGAAGCCCCAGCCTTTGCTAGCTTGGGTTCTGACTACCAGGGGGGTAACCCCAACACTAGAAGTCACGTGACACACGAGGGGAGATGTAGGATGTGAATGTGCTGAGCACAGACGATGCTCGTTCGCTGTGGGGTCATTCTCTTCCCTCAGTGCTGCCTCATGGATTACATTACAGAGGCAGACTGTTAGGCAGGACACCCAAATACCTCAACACCTCAACAACAGTTATAATTTAACACGTACATCTTTCATAGGCACCAACAGTTTTTTGAGCTATACTGTTTTTTTTTCTCTGGTTCTTCTCTTTTTGGTATCACTTTCTGTTCCTTATTTATTTATTTTTTCTTTTTATTCTTTTATTGACATTACTATTTTTATTATGGTGAAATTGACCACCTTTCATTTCACTGCGGGTTGTAGTCTGACAGTATAGCTTCGTGTGGCAAATAAAACCCTTGGCAATCCTTGAAATCTGATGCAGCTGCGGAAAATGGAATAATTTCTTAATTTACCAGACTGGACGAGACAGTGTAATAGACTGGGGTGATGAGGATGATGATGATAATGAAGATAATCATAGTGACAGAGGTGAAAAAAATACAATCTGAAAACATCATCTCAGTAAGAGCAGCTTTTCAAATAATGCAGAGGCCCCGTGCTGCTCTCTGACATTATCACAGAGAATATGGATGCAAACACAAGCATCCATGGGCCAGACACCGGCCTCTATTACGAGACAGCGCCCACTGCTGAAATGCAAGATGCTAACTGGCCGCATCTCAAGTAAACTTCACAATCTCGTCGGTGAAGATGGGCAGACTAGACTTCTCAGGTCTCTTAAACAGCGACAACCAAGCGGTGGAAACTTTACAGCACCTTAAAACGGGGGAAAACAAACAAATGACCTCACTGGAGCGATTGAAAACAGGCAGCGTGCTAATTGGCTGTTATAGTCAGCAGGTGCGAAGCACACCGATGTGCCAAAATGACAGCTAGGGCCAAAGATGGTCATGGGCAGCAGGGGGTGGGATTATGCATCTCCAAGTTCAAATAAAAGGCCAGGCAATGGCGTGATGGACAGCCGGATGACCGCGACAAAAACAAACGCCCACTTTGCCGCAGAACCTGAAAATAGCACCTCCCCTGCACAGGTGACTGGGGCGAGCATGAGCTCCTGCCGTACGTCACATGCTTTTCTGCCCTTTAACCGTCTACGATGCCCGGAGGTCTGGATATTGCGAATCTGGCCTTTGCGCCACGCAAATCGTTTTCTTGAAGGAGCTTTTCATGTGGGCTGTCCCATGTGGAGCCAATAAGACGCTTTATGTGGGTCGCAAAGTTGCTGGAAAGTGAAGCTGGAAGCGCCTCGTGCCTCTAATGGGAACCAAATGATTGGCCAGCTCCGACAGCGGCTTCTCACCCGTCAGACACGCTGCGTATTTTAGGGGTGCCAAAGGAAGCTCGATTTTGTGATTCTGTGCACAGAAAGCCTGCTACGGCTGTATATTTTGTTTTTATGGATGGGGGGAGGTGGAGGGGGGGGGGTTGATGTTGTCGTCGTTCTGTTATCTTCAGAAAGCTCTCCGTGGTCCCGCTTTAAAGGTCATGGTGGAATGTGTGTCGGAATAAAAATGGTGTGGAATCACAAGACTTGGATTATGTGTGTGTGCACAGCATGCTGCATAGACCCCAGAAGCCTCCTGGGTATATTAATATTTATATCTGCGTTAACTTCACGTTACGGTTGAACTCTGGTGGCACTCACTCTCTATTGTATACCATTGCTTATGCATGCAGTTTTTATGCATTGGTTAGTAAAAAGTTGGGGCTTGATTTAGTCTTAATAACAGGCATGGTTTTCGGTGCAAATCTCTGTATATATTCTATACGCACGAAAAAAAATGACACATGCATTTTAAGTCACTGGTATCGAAATGTTTGGCAGGCAAGCAGACCAGTATGGTTAAGTTAACGCCACCTCTATTATCGCCCCAGATTTGGCAGAATCCCCCACGCACTAGGATTTCGCTTTAACCCGTCTCCCAGTTTTTCCTTGAAGTCCCTCCTCGCTGTAAATGTATCGCAATCGGCTGAAATGCCTGGACTTGAGATAAAGGTGCTTTAGTAGGGGCATAATTTCTGGCACATATATGTAACGGCTACAGTTTTTCCATTATGATCCTCAAAGTCATTGAAAAGACACCAAGGTTACTTCAGCACAGATCAAAGGTTCAATACTGGGTAAGACAAATGACTGTATTTATCAAATACCTTGCATTTGCTCCTTTATGTTGCGTATCTTGCATTTATTCTCTGTCCGCATTGTGCCCTAATTGTTAGCTGTTTATTGTCATGGGGTCTCCAACAGCAGCAAACTGCTAACAAAAACTTCCAGCAGCCTTGGTCGCGTGGCGGTAAAGGCTGGGATTCTAAGTGATCGTGCCAGTAAAGTCTCAGCTTTAATAGGCCCTTGGATGCAAAAAGCATAACATGCAGCATAAAAATGTAAAAATGTAAAAATAAAACGCAGCCTGCACGCTAGTGGCGGGAGGACCAATGGGAATACAGTCGTGGGCCGGCATGGTGTGGATGTGAGAATGCAGAGATGGAAGCGGGAGGTCCAGCAAGAAGAAGCCTGACACGTCTGTGCGGGGCATCTGCCAGGGCCCCTTCCATCACAACTCAATTTTAACATCAAGCCTGCAAAGCACGGGCTTTATGCTATTTTAGGGCTCACAAAGAACGTGCCCCCTGGTACGAGAGCTCCATCCCAGAATCCCTTGCTGTGTTGTGAGCTCCAGGGCATAGTGGAAACAGGAATATCAAATGGCGCCCATTTTTTTCACCATGCAATCTGCAGTTTTGTACTCCCCCCGCTCCCCTTCCTCACCCCATCACCCAAAATCTTTCCTTGCTTCAACATATAGCATCACCCCCTCCTCCCCCCAAAAAAAAATAAAAAATTAAAAGTCAAAGATCTTTTTACTTATTGGAGTCTTAAATTGCCTTGCTTGGGGTCAGGTGTTTGTGTCACTGGGAGAGTAGATAGCATGGACTTCACCGAATCATCGTATGCGAGCAAAGAAAGTGGCACTTTGTTCAGCTGAGCAAACTGACAAACTAACGGCACACGGTGGTATGGGTCTTAGGCAGTGCCGGGCAGCTAACAGAATAGTTAGCTTTGATAAATGCTAACTTGATACCGCTAAACCGATAACCCCAAAAAAATTTTGTGAAAATAAAATAACTAAATAAAACATACAAAATATATAATAAAATAAAGTCCATTTAAACTAGGGTACCTGAAATCTGTCAACCTATGCAGCTTTGTGACACAGGTCTCAGTTCCCTGCTTAGTTCAGGGTCCCCTGGTTTAAATGGACTTTATCTTTGTTCACTTACATTAAGCCCAGACTACCTTAAATACAAGTTATTGACCAGTCATGTCTTGTTTTTACATGTAGTCTGCTAACAGTGTGCCAGATACAAGCCAGAACAAATATGTGGGATTTTAGGATTTACAAACGTTTTTGACCATTAAACTTTATTTACTTTACTTGCGAAAAATGTTAGCAGATTTACAGTTAGCGGAACTTAATTTAGCGGAAGCTAACTGGACCACTAACGGAAACGCTAATCCGCTAACAAAAAAAAGTTAGCTTCACTAATTAGCAGTTAGCGAATTAGTGGAACTCTGCCCACCGTTAGTCTTTGAGGGTGGATTTCTTGTAGTAAAGCATTGCGCTATAAATATGAAGGTTCTAAGTTCAAATGCCACAGAGCACCAAAAATGTAACTATAAGCTGCTTTGGATAAAATACATCTATCACCTGTCAAGCTACGTATGAAGGGTATCCAGTAATACAACCAAGTTCCTGTTTCATATGTAAATGTTCTGCCTAAATTAGCAACACATAAAATTAGTTTGCTTTTTCTTCCCTGGCTACAGACAGTCATTAAAACTCGAGACTCATATGTACAAACACATTTAGTGCAGCGTGATTACAGGGTAACAGTAATCACTGGAGACTTGGAGCTGGCTAACAAATTTTTACATTAGCTGATAATTTTTTTATGTCTATTCCCATTGCTCCATGTTTAATTGTGACGGAGCTCGTCAGCCTAATATACCCGTTAATGAAGCCGTAATCTGCTATGGACAGCAAAGCAGATTAAAGATATTCACAAATTAGTACAAAGGTAAACAGACAGATGGTTGGAGAGGAGACTGCAGAAGACTAAACCATCCGGGTGCAACAGATATGTGTAGTCACACACAGATTAGTAGGCTTCTATTATGCCACTTTTTCACAGAGAGAGAGAGAGAGAGAGAGAGAGAGAGATTGCATTCTGGAACTCAAGGGCCACTGTTTGTGCTTTAATAAATCCCAACATAACCAAGGCCCAGGTCTGGCAATTCCACAGAGGCAATGAAAAGCCCCACTTCTGTCCAATTAGGATGACGACTGGCAAACAAGCGGCGCTCTAAACGGTTTTTCAATTTGTATGTTGTGAAATCGGAGCCCAATGCCCCTCCCACGCCTAAAAAAGACTCAGAAACATGGATAAGCAGCAACATATACAAAAAGACACATTTTATCTGATTCACATAAAGCAAAGGATATGTTCACAATCTGGGGCCATGGGCAATTTTTTTTTGGATATCCAATTTCTCCAAAGGGATGAATCACTATTCTGTCACCTACTTCAGGCAGTTACCTGAGGTTACCAAGCATCCTTTGGATTCTCGGACAGGCATGCAAGGAGGGGCACGATGGCCTTTTCCAAATCGGCTCATTAGACTGCTGCTTCGACGGACTAAAGATACCTCACAGTAACTGGTCTATTACCCAGGACTCCAATTGCCTATGTCTGCAGCTCACTAGAGGCGATCACTTTAAATTCTGGACAAAATAATATCTGGTGATGATGGCTGGATCTATTATCTAGAAGAGACCAAGTTAGGGTTACATCAAAATATGCCCATTCGTCTCCCATAAAAACTTATGTAATGCAGGGTGCTGGAATAAAATTATTCTCCTGGAATGATGGGTAATTCGGCACATCAGGCATGGACCACATAAACTGCTAAGTTATCACTGCCTTAGACTACAGGATGGACAGAAATGTTTAAAGGGACCTGCACCTGAAATGTGGTGCATGGCTACATTTCTAACTTTAAATACATAATCTGTCTATTATTTAAACAAGGGCTGGCCATTTATTTGGGTCTGAGACAAATAAGTGACAATGCATGGCTTTATAAGCTTTGAAGCATTGCAAAGCCGACCGTTTGCCCTGTGGCTGCTGAAAACGTCATTGAAACGTCCTTGTTTGGAAAGATTTGGAAGAAATGCTTCAGGCTTTTAAGTTTCACAGTATCCAGCTATTCATTTTGCATTTCGTGACCGTTGTTTAATTTTGTGTGGCTGCTGGCACGCAAGCACGCGAGCGTCTGACTGAGAACACTCTCTGGTATCCCGCAAGGCCTTCAGTGGCGAGAATCGTCTTTAAACTGCCATAACCACAAACCGCTGACTTATCTAACCTTACGCGCATGCCTATTTTCTGCTAGCTGGCATACTCGTCCGAGGGAACTTACACTCACCGAAATGCGAAACGTTGCGCATGAACGAGGCATCTTCAGAACAACAAGCTGTCTCCTGTGAGCTCATATCTACTGGGATCTGAGGTCAACCGTAGCTCTGTGTGTCAGTGTAAAGACCATATTGTATTTTAAGGGCAACTGATTTTTACATAATTCGCTGCTTACCATGCACACTTATCTAGCATAAATCACTAATTCTTTGACAATCTGTTTATAGAGCTTGAGTTCCGTGGCCTTCAGACACTCAGGCTAATGCTATAGCTATGACTCTTGGGAACTTATCTTCTATCCCCGCTCCTCATATACTTAACATTTCACGTTGCTAACAAGGCTTTGAGGTCAATCAAAGGGTGCGGGGCCGGTGGGGAGTGGGGTCGCGACCACTGCAGTGCAGTCATTTGCCCATGCACTGCTGACGGAGTTAGCCAGCTAATGGATGCTATTTGCCTTCTGCTCTTAAATCGTTAGATCAGGTCTTTGTGCATGTATTAGTCTATATTCATCAAGCTGTTCTGAACAGAGTGAAGAGGCTAATGACCATGAAGTGGTCCTCATGTCTACGCATTAGTGTGTCAGTTCCTGTAAAAATACATAATAATATGCTTATGCTTCCATTAGCTTCACAGACCTATTCAGGGACTAAGTTTGGTCTAATTAGATGTTAATATTGGGTCAAGTGTGGAGATCTCTAGCTGATGTTTGCCAAAGGAATCACATGGACTAGTGATTCAGGCCTCCTTGTGACTGGCTTTCAGTTTCACAGATTTCACTATTGGACAAGTTAAATTAGGAAATGTTCTGTTCTTGACCAGGACAAAATCTCCCACTGTCTTGTGTTGGGGGAACTTGAGTAGACTAATGTAAGCTTCTCCTGCTGTATATCAGACTTGCCAACTCTTACACATCTGGCGTGATGCTCACACGTTCAGACTCTCGTGCTTACGCAAGAAATCTTACGGCAAATCTAAATTATTCCATTATAAACCTAAAATTAGCTACATCAAAAGCATCGGAGTAGTAATACCTGCAAAACCTACAGACTATTTACAAGATCATAAAAGCGTTACACGCATGTAATTGCGGGTGCATGTGTGTGCATGTGTGTCTCGAACTGAAAATCTCTCGCCAGCCAACTAACTATATATATCTTGTATATAAGGTCCTGTAGCCCAACAAGTGGAGCATTACGCTAACAACGCAGATCATGGGCTCAGATTGTAGGGAGGAGACATAAATAGTAACTCTTCCCTCTACTGTAAGCTGCAGTGAATAAAAGCAGCCCCCCCCAAATATATGTGAAATGCACCAAGATCTGTGAGAGCCACAGAACCATCGGCAGACTAAATGGTCGCATTTTTATGAAAGGACGGACTCCATATTGAGCACCTCACTGTGCGAATGACAGATTCTGCAGCCGAAGCACTACGGCAGGCAGCAGTCTGACCGGCACTACTGGGACCCCCCAATTGTTTTTTGCCCCTACGCTTCACATTTCACAGTAAGAGCAACAGCGCGAGTAAAATGCAAATGGAATCCATCATGTAAGCAACTGCAGCGTGATCTTACTCTGGTGTCAGAGCTGAAGTGAAGGAGCCATAGAAGTGGAGACGGAAATCCCAGCGTCTGCTGGGACGGGGTCATATAAGGCCTTGGTTAGCATCTCTGTGTTTATATTCATATTTAATCAGTGAAATGCATTATGGATGACATACTGTGCGGTGGGGGTCTGATAGTTAGACATCATCTTCGGTGCCGTGACCACGATGCAGTGGCTCAGCTCAGAATGCACCCTGGGGGTCTTCCTGTTTTCCTGATGACAGGGTTTGCCAGGGTGGGGCTCCCTACGCACGAAAGCCCCCCACCCCTGGGGGAGATGAGTGAGCACACAGGACAGCGAGCGGGGAGAATGAAAAAGGAGGCGCCTTACATTCTCTCCTTAATTTGATTTGGGATTTTTTTCCTCCAGGTATAGGAATGAAATGAGAACACACACACACACACACGCACACACGCACACACACACACATGCACACACACACACATGCACACACACACATGCACACACGCACACACACGCAAACACACACACGCACACAAATACTCACATACACAAACACACACGCACGCACACACAGACACATGCACACACACACACATGCACACATACATGTACACATATGCACATATATACATACACACAAACAAACAAAAAAACAAAAACAACCCAAGCAAACAAACAATCACATACTGTACCACCATACACACAAATGCACGCACAGAGACACACACACATACGCGCAAACACACAGAAGGACGAGGCCGCAGGGTCCGATCTAAATGGCCGTATTTCCTGGGTTGGGTGTCAGGGTCTGGCCTCCTAGGAGGGCTGCCACCCCTCGACAACGGCGGCACTGCCACAGGCGCCTCATCAGCCCTCTGGCTAACGACTCCCTTGCTCATTCCAGGTCTCTTTGTTGCACTTTGTGCTTTTTTTATAGAAAAAAACAGTAAGACACGGGCAGAGATTGAAATTAATGAGCTGCCTGTGATTCGAGGACCACAATGTCGGCCACACCAGCAAGGCAGAATCATCCGGTTTCTGTGGCGACGTGGAGGACGTGTGACACAAAAAGCAGAATTAATTGGGTGGGTGGGGGCCCTCATCATCAGAATTGCTGCTGGGGACAGTGGGGGTGGAAAGGAGTGGAAGCCACTTTGGATGCACAAATGGCCCCAGTCATTTTTCTAAGGGGCGGTGCGTCACATGGGCATGTTGGAAGATGGACTTCTCCCTGACAATGTTAGACGCCATCCCCCACCTTCTGATGATCTATTCTAGGGGCAATTAGCGATTATGGGATTTTTTTTAAGCTGGGGAACATGTTCCTCCCTTTGCTTGAAGCGCTGATGTTCAGATGCCACAACCAAACAACTGAGAGAGACAACTACAGCCGACTGGCCATTTGAGAGGCATGTTCAGTTACTGCCTTGATGGTGCTGCTCTGTTCCGTTATGCAATGCACAGGCCAACGGCAAACTTAAATAAATGCTGGGTTAAAACGGTACAGCCTTTCCCTGCATGACATCTAGAAGGAACAACAGAATCCCGTGTTTCTGATTAAACAAATAGGGAATAACTCACTCCGTCCATTTTTTGTTGTGTTTGAGATGAGACCGCCAATGACCTAAAGTCAGGCTTCCGCATCATATGTTACAGTACTGGCAACTGAAACTTAGTCCTCAGAAATTTTCTCTGAGTAAGTTTTGGAAATTTGCCCTTAAAATGTCAACTATACTTGGAAGAAGCTCAGTTAACTGATTTTAACAATTTAATGTACTGTATCAGTGTCAATTACTTGTGTACTACTCCTCGATTACTTGTGTTGTCAATTGCAAATTGGCAAAAGAACTCCTTTAAAAGGCCACATGCCAAGACAGAAAATGGGAAGCCGCGATTTGTGTCGTTTGGAGAGAGCTCAACTCTCGCAAAGTTCGAAAGAATTATGAGCGAAACAGACGGTCGAGGAGTCAAAGAAAACAAATGCCCACTGACCGTAAGCCGAATCGATAGCTGTGTTCTGCTTCCGTGTGGTGGCCAGTACATCTGCAAACAGACAAGCAACAGACTCATAACTGGAAACAGAAAAAAGTGACATCATAAACCAGATGGAAAAAACAATCAATTCTACCACCGAACTGCAATTGCTATTTTCGCTCACTTTTCATGCACTCATCCATCCATCCATGATATTTAATTAATAATATATTTTATTGCTCACAGTCGCAGGGCATTACTGATGCTTTCCTTTGGATTTACTTTTTATTAACTTAATTAATTTTTCAAAATGGCATCTGTGTTTGAGGACACCGTAAAACAGATCTAGGCTTCTGGCACGAGGAAGGACACATCAATAATAATGGTTTCAAATGAAAGTCAAACAATAGGCTTGCAGTAAAGTAAAAAAAAACAACACAACAATAATTACATTTTTACCAGGCATAATCAGAATGGAACATCCCCCATTTAAATGGGTAAATTTAATTACGTGCGTTAGGCTCACCATGGCAGCTGTCCGCGTGTTCGGTGTGGTCGTTCTCAACATCCTGCTCGAACCCGGCCCTGAGAGAGACAAGACATAAAGGCAGCAGGTCATTAGCCTGGCTGCATGCTTCCTTGTTGTTCTTTAATGCGACCTACCCTGGCTTCATTTGTTCTGCCGAATCCCCACAATCAGATGCAAATAAAGACCGCGGGACCGACGGGAGGCACATTCGGCTACACCGACGCCATTTAGCCCCGAGCCACCTGCCTCTCAAAGACCCAATTAATGGCTACAGGAAGTACAATATGCGAAGGAAAAGGACTCATAAGTTATTTTTTACGAGGGAAAAAAAAAACGATATCAGTAAGGACCGGAGTGTCTCTGGAGTCTTTACACTGTCTATTACCCAGAAGTCCCTGCACCTCCATGTTGTTAACAGCTTGGGGTGATTTCATTTGCCCTCGCCATGGCGACAATTTAAATTTTGGGGGATAGATTGAATTAGCCTCTCCCTGGATTCTCGTGCCTTGAGTTCTTTGGCAGCCGCCCCCCCCCCACCCCAGAGCTGATATCCCATTACTCCCCAGGCGGGGAGTGAGAACCCCCCCAGCAACCATACACGTGGCTTAACGAAACATGGCCGCTTTTATAATTCGACTCCCCTCTAGCGAGAAACGCTCTGTGTGCTGATCAATCAGCCACCCACCACCCGGTACCATAAATACCGGCAAATCCATTTATAAGGAGTATTGACAGCGGGGGGTGGGTGGTGGGGAGGTGGGCATGCGAGAAGGTGTTCCATTTACGTGACAGCAGCCTCTGTCTCCATTAGGGGGGCAGATTAAGGGGCCTGTCAGTATTGTACAAGCGGCTTCATCCGTGGCCACCATCGCTACCCGCTGATTCAATTTTTTTTCAACCCGGCACTGAGCCAAAGTTTCCCTGTTAGTTGTTTACCTGACCCCCCCACTCCCCCCCATTCCATTAGTGTAAGCCGTATGGAAGCACAAGACTACATTTGGGCTCCCATCACTGCCCAACCTTCACCCGTGTTATCGGCCGGTCTCCAGGGGCGCTTTAATGCACAGGTTCACCCAGGCCGAAGCCCAGGGGCCTCTGCTAAAAGTGACCTCAGCAAAGCTCGTCTAATTACATTTTAAAGAGTTGCCATCCTTCCCGTTTTTTACAGAACATAAATTTTATCGCCCCCTAACCACCTTTCTGCTTGACAACTACACCATCATGGAAAACAATATGGGGCCTGCTGATGACTGAAACAGTCCGGAGGCCTCTTACCCTGTTAGATGGGCTATCTTTAGTGCAGTGATACGATTGGTGTGTGGAGTTCTGCGGAAGAAAATTGTTCCTATATGGAATTGCTCACCACAAAGTCTGAGGATTATCTTCAGTAACGGGTCATGATTTCTAGTGAGAGAGGTCACTGTTGAATTTTCCAAATGTATTTTTTTGGTGCTAAAGCCCATCTAAAACATATCTTTTCTGGTTTTTGGGTGATGGGCCGCTTTAATGCATCTCTGCTGGCCTCTGTCCTGGCTCGATGGGGAAGAGGGCAGACAGGCACACTTCTAGCTAAACGGCTAGCGATGGCGCTACATAAGTGCACTCATGCTAAACAGAGGAGGAGCAAGAGAGAGAAATGCATGCAAATGCAGCACGCTTTTATACTGTATTACAGCTCTGACAGATGTTGCTAATAGAAAAATGGCTAATCAATGATTTCATGTGCCACTCACTGTGGCACACATCAGAAACGCTCCTCCTGACGGCTAAAGCGCTCAGCTCACAGCGTGGCCGTGCTCCCGGGTGCAGAGCCAGGCTGCGCACTGCAGAGATGCCTAGACCCCCTTTCACTGATCTCATCTGTTGTTTTGCTCGAAGCGCCCCACAGTACGTTCCTCTCCGAGACGAGATTCACCGCCAAGGCATCTGCTGAGGTCACATCTGGATCGACTCCCCCCCCCAAAAAAAAAACCGGCAGCTCTGCTATGCGAACCGGGAGAACGTCTGGCTTCGTCAACCGTAAGGAAAAAAAATCCTCCTGTTGTTTGTACTGCTTTTCGCTCGTAAAAAATCCATCTGAAGACGTTCCGTGAGCCTCTCGCTTCTCGGCTGCCTTATCCACATGAGAGAAGGCCTGAAATTTACGTCTCTACGGAGCCTTTGGGCTTAACAACGTGATGTTTGTATCCCTTCAAATCTTTCTCCCCACTCTCCCTTAAATACGGATACCATGTTGTGTCACATATCATCTTGCAGGTTGGGAAAATTAAATCATGTCATAATTACAGCTTTGAAAAGATGCCGTTGCTACCTTTATAAGGTCACAACATCAACGAATGACTCTAGGTCATGGAACAAAAGGGAAATGTATTCAAGTGGTCTGCATCTGTCCATAGCTGAGGGTGAGCTTTATGCAAATGTCAGCCAACGTGTTCACAGAGGCCTTGGATGGCACTTAGAGCGATTTAGGGTGGTTATGCCACATGGCTTATCTATGGGAAAATAAGAAGGTGTCTGACATCACTGAATTTGACTTTTGTGAAATGAAAACTGATCTGCAAAGTGATCAAGATAAATGCAATTTGTCAGAAAAAAAACAACACTGACAAAGAAAGCCGTAGCTCTGGAGAGAGTGAAAGAAACAGGCTGGGTTTTTTTAGACAGGCAGAGTGTTAGACAGACCATGATGGACCCCATTCGCCTGAACACTCCTTTCGATTGCATGCATGTCAAATTACTAAGTGTCATATTACTCCCTTCCACTTCATAAGAACGGACAGATTGGTTTTGCTCAAATCCAATTGCGGCATGTCAAAGTTAAAGAATAAATGCTTGGTGATTGTCTGTTATGAAGGCATTGTGTCTTGGGGTACGACTACGATTTATTAATGAACAACAAAACAAAAATCCTTCCTTCTAAGATACTCCAGTGAGACAGGGATGCTTTTATAAATTGGATCAGAGGAAATAGGTGCAGCCAAACATACGGACACATTGTGAAAAACATATGGTGAGTCAGCGCTCTTGTATGCGATGGACACGGACCAATGTTCGCTTTAATGCAAGGGTTCAGTAGAGCAAGACAAGAGCCCCAACTTCCACCAGTGCGGATGATAGTGTAGCATCCCTTTATTTCCTGGGCAGCATATTCACTGACTTTAGCAGCGGGGTGATACCCGCGTCCAGCGGTCCTCGGTCCTACCTAAAGCCCGGTCTCACTCATCAAGTTGCAGCGAGGGTGATATCCACGTCCAGTGGCCGTCGGTCTTAACTAAAGCCTGGTATCACTCATCAAGTCGCAGCAAGGGTGATACCCACGTCCAGCGGCCGTCGGTCTTAACTAAAGCCTGGTATCACTCATCAAGTCGCAGCAAGGGTGATACCCACGTCCAGCGGTCGTCAGTCTTAACTAAAGCCTGGTATCACTCATCAAGTCGCAGCAAGGGTGATACCCACGTCCAGCGGT